CGTGATGGACTTTCCCACCCAGAGCAGGTCAGTTCCCCTGGCAACAGGCCCCAGGTGTCCGCCTAAAGTGACCACATCAACATAACAGGAGCCACCTGGGCTCTCTCCACTCCCAGGAAATTCCAGGCAGGGGAGCTGGGAGCGGGACCTGGATGAAGCCCCACAGCTGGGGGAGACACGCGCTCTGACTCCCCGCAGAGCGCTGTGACCACGGCGCCCCGCGCACGTGATCTTCAAATTCCGCAGTGACTTTCGGGGAGCAGAGAGCTCCCAGCTGGTCACGCCCGCCCGCCTCCGGCCCCCTGTGTCACCCGGCATGTGGGAGACCCCGGTGGGGCCCCCAGGCCTGGCAAAGAGCTCGGAGCGGGCTGCGCCTCCTGCCCCTCCATCCTCACCCCAAAAGGAAGGGGGGAGGCAGCGGCTCACCCCTCTCAGGCTGGGGTGGGGGGCGGTGAATGCATCAGGGGCAGTCGCCAGCGGCTCGCAGCCGGACACTGACCTGACCCGGCAGACCATGGCACCCCTGAAGGGAGCGGGGACACGCAGGCATGTGGAGGGTCCCCGGCTCAAGGCGACAGGGCGGAAACAGGGCTGCGGGGACATGAAGTGGCCGCGGCTGCCCTAGGCGGTGACCTCGCGTCATCACCACCGATGGCTGACCATGGCTGGTCTATCCCCTGCCCCTGGCCCATGCGGGGGTGGGGGGAGACGCACAGTCACAGGCTGACACCCAACTCCAAGGAGGTTCCTGCGCCTCAACGCGGGCATGGCCAGGCGGGAGCACCCTGCGCCTCCAGCCGGCCGCTGGCTCTGTCCTCCATGAGCGCGAGGCCAGCGTGCATGAGGCTGCGGTTAGGAGAAGGCGGCGCTGCTGGGCCGCCGGCTCCCGGGCCCTGGCCGCCTTCTGAGGGTCAAGAGGTCAGTGGACACGACTGTTTAGGGCTAATCGGCCGGCCCGTTTGTCAGTGCCTCGGTTTTGAGCTTTCAATAAAAAGTGCAACAACGTTCCTGGGTCCCCAGTCACATCTGGATGGAGTCGAGTCTAAGGCGGATGCAGCCGAGCAGGAAGAGAAGGGCCCTGGCACCCTGTAACCCCAAAGGGAGAGATGGCCCGGGCTCAGGTCCTCCCGACAGAGGAAGGAACGCAGGGAGGCCGCGCAAGACTGAGTCACGCAAGGGCACAGGTGGGAGGGGCCAGTGCAGCGACTGACACAGCCATGCACCAAGGTCCTCGGGCGCCACAGCCGGATTCCGGTGCCCAGGTGAGGACAAGGACGTGGAGGTGAGGTCACTAGGGAATCTCCGTCCTCTCAGATTCTATGCAAAGCCAGCAGGCCAGGCTCATGGAGTGGGCCCCTCCCAGGGAGAGGCTGCCTGTGTCTGGACAGTCTGTCCACTCGCACGGGGCAGCAGGCCTCCGCCCACCTGTGCCTAGGCAGGTGCTCCTTCCCGCCCCGCTCTCCCTCCGCAGGGCAGCAGCCTCCCGCCTGCCCGTGGCCTGCACCTGCCGGGGCTCTCTGCTCTGCCCCCCTCGGCGGAGGCCGCTCTCCTAGGCCGCCCGCCCGCACCACGCAGGCCTCTCCCTGCAAGCCCGTCCCTTTGGGCAGCTCTTCCCGCCCGCCGGAGCCTGTGCGAGAGTCCTTCCCTCTCCCACCTCTTCTAATAAACTTCCTTTAAATATAACTGAGTCTCTGTCTCATGGAAAATGTCGCCTTGGACCACTGAAAGGGGAGCTCTGGGGAAACCTTTCCCAGAGTGGACCCAGGGACCCTGAAATCAAAAGACGACATCACCCCCAGCCCCTGGGTGTCGCCTGGCTACCCAAGGCTCCCTCGGAGGGCACAAGCATCCCTGCTTCGGGCGGCAACATCTCTCCTACGCCTGGCTCCTGGGCCGTGTGAGACTAGATGGGTCAGGGGGGCTCCCCGCGCCCTGCCCAAAGGCTGGAATCGGAGAAAGAGCAAGCACGGAACCCAGCTGGGCCCAGGGGGACCACCCCGGGGCCTCGGCTAGGTTCCTGGGGAGACAGGGTCACTTCTGCAGGGGCACAAAGCTAAAGCCCAGCCCCAGGCTGAGGGGGCCCATGGGGAGGGAGCCACACTCCCCGGGCGCGAGACAAGCCTGGGCCTCGACAGCCCACCCTGTGCTGTCCAAGGCGCACCCGACGCAGGAGGTCTCCCCACTCGGAGTGAGCAGGGGTCCCTCACCTGCGGGCACAGAGCAGGCCCAGGGAGGGCGGCCGCCTCCTCTCCCGAGCCCCCAGCCTCTGCCGGCAGCACCCTTCCCACGCTCCCTCCTGTCTCCGTGTCCTCTGCTCACCTCCCACTGCCGGGAAGGTTGGACAGGCTGGGGGGGCCCAGCCCCGTCCTCCGCCAGGCCCCTGCCTCACGGCCACGCCAGGCCACGCCAGGCCACGCCAGGCCACGCCAGGCCACGCCAGGCCGCGCCAGGCCGTGCCTCCGGGCCGCCAGACCCACGCTGCCCTCTCCCCCGGGCAGCCGGGAGTTCCTGCCCCAGTCCTCCTTTCTTTCTTTCCTTCTCTCAAATACAGTCTCAGCTCACTTCACAGGAGAAGTCTCAGGTTACAGGGTCCTGAGGACACAGAAGATATTTCTGCTTAGCTTATTCTGAGCAGCTTCTGGCCTGATGAAGCCATGTGTCTAAATAGGGCTGCCACGACGGCCGCCTGTCCCGCGGGGCCCCCTCCCCTCTCCCGGTACGGAGCAGGAGCCACGGGGGGCCTCCGAGGGGGACAGGCCCGGACCTGCAGCCCGGCCCACGGCCGCCCGCTCTCGCCCTCGCTCCCTCACCCACTCGTGGGCCCCGCTGACCCCGCGCTGGCACTCATGCGCCGGTCAGCCCTGCAAGGAGGCCAGTGGCCAGTCTCTCTCCTCCTGGACCTGCTTGTCCCTAACCTCAAAGCAGAACTCAACTCGCCTTCCCCAGGGCTCTGTCCTCAGCTGTGAGGTGGGGGTGGGGGGTCCTCACTTTCCCATCTTCCCAGATCCGGGTTGGTTCTCGAGCAGGGACTGGGTGAGAATCCTGAGGCCCTTCTCACTCCCGCCCCGCCGACTGCTCATCTCCGCCCTCTTTGGTAGCATCAGCGATGATGCCCCTTTGGGGGGCTCCCAGCATGAGCAAAAGGGAAAACGGCTTGACCCCCAGGCTTGGAACCGACCTCCCCTGTCGGGCTACCTGTCCTCAGGTGAATCATTCTAGCGCTCTGCTCTTTCTGTCCTTGATAGCAGGACCCACGTGGGAGTGGCTCGCGTGGCCCACGGTCCTGACCACGTGTGCGTGAGCCCGTCACGCCTGCAGCAGCGTGGGGCGGGGCAGGAGGAGGCAGCAGAGTTTGAGGCTGGAAAAGAAGCCCCTGGGGAAAGTCCAACTGACCCAGGCACCCCTGGTTCAGCTCAGCCCTCCGCCTGCCCGCCCCAGGGGCCCCTAACCTCTGCTTCACACCTCCGGCTGTGGGGGACCCGCCACCCCAGCGCTGGGCTCCTCCCGTCTCTGGGGAGCTCTTCAAACAGAGCGGAAGCCCATGTCCATGGAGGCTACCTGGCCCCTCCAACCCCTTCCAGACTCCCGCACGGCACGGCAGCTCCCGGCGACGCTCTCTCCACGCGGCTCCCGTCCAGCCCACCTGGGCGCATCCACTGATGGGCACACGGGGCGACCCGAGCCACTGGAACTGCTCCCCTTTTGCCGACAGCCGGCTCCGGCCTCCGCCTTCCCCTCCGGCAAAACCGGAGCAGTTCCAGTCCCCGCCTAGGTGAAGCCCCTGAACCTGCCCTCTCGAGTGGCTGCTGGAGGCCTCACCCTCAGGGCCGTCACCGGCTTCCGGAAGACGGAAGAACTCACTGGCCCCGGGATGGCTGGAGAGCTGAAGCTGCTGAAACCCCAAACACTGAGTGCTGGGGGCTACTTCTGCAACCTTATATTTCTTTCTTTTTTTTTTTT